TGATTGCAGTCGGATGGAGCTTCCTATTTGTTTCCCGGGCCGCTTAGAAACCTATACAGCAGTTCAATGTTGCCACGATCGGTTTTGTGCCGCAAAGTAGGGGCATGGCTTTTTTTGACTCCGCTGTGTCGATTCCTCCATCAATGATTTTTGTCGCATTGATCTCGTCGCAGTGCATACCGGAGCGAAACCGCAGTCGCCGACTTTACTGCTAGTAGTTTTTTACATCAAGCATGTAGTTTGACCCTGTATATGTGGACTTGCGACGATGGTTGTTCAGACCGCCGTGTCACCGAAACTTGCAAATTGGCTATGGGAGTTGAGGAACGTATCCCTACTTAAAAGCCTGACACGTTGGGATGCGTGAGAATGAATATATATATATATATATATTAAAAAAAAACTACACACACATATATATATATACATATATATATATATCACACACATATATGTATATATATATTCTGGAAAAAGAGAGAGATTTACAAAATAAATAGCAGTAAAGAGATATGTATATATATATATATTTGCACATATATAAAGCCAGAGAGCAACCCCCGCTATGCACTTGCAACTTTCAATATTTTGCCGTCCGACAATCACTGCGCATGAAGCTGAAGAGCCCCTCACGGGCACAAGCGGGCGCGGCATGGGCCGCTCCAATGATGACACGCTTGCTCTTTTTGGAATGCTTGCATTGAAAAGCATTGTCGACTGTGTTTGAGCGCCTTTACCTGTCAATGTGGGCTGCCCTGAAGAGCATGGTGCTGCCTTGCTATACCAAAACGTTTTGCAAAAGAAAACAGTGTCCAGGAACTGCAAAGGTTAACAATACAATACAAATGGTGCTTTATCTTCCTCGTGTCCTGAGACTACTCTTTTGTTTTATTGCTGGTGCTTTTGAGGGTTCCCGCTGGTTAAATGCTTTAGGTGTAAGCCTGCTTTCGCATTTTTGGAGGAAACAAAAACCGCTCTGGGATTGTTTGAAAACGGTGGATATCTCAAGAATAAGAAAATAAATAATGGAAATTTAAATGTAACCTGATATTGTGATGTTTCCAGGCCAACCTTATATATTTGGCACGCGCGCCGTACAGGCGCGGAAGTTTCCAGCCTAAAAGAAACAAGTCTAATAGAAGTATCATGCAGGCGCATGCTTAATGTCAAGGACTTGCTGAGGGATGGAAAGTCCAATGCAATCAAAGAGTGATTGGCCGGCCGCGTGCTCTTGGCGATGCGTGGCATCTGCTGATGGTGTGGTGGGGTGGGATCCAAAAGTCAAGCTCTCCTAGGAGCATGTCCATGGTCTAAAAAGGATTGCCTTCCAAATTTGCTGAGGGTGCTGTGGTAGAGTTAGAAAAAGCAAATTTGAACGACGTTTTCATCGTCTTGACAGACGTGCGATGATCTTTAAATTGCCATATGTCACATGTTCGTTCGGTTGAAGGAAAATTATGCGGAGCATGCCCACAGAAGTGTAACATCCCAAGAAAAGAGAAATTGATTTATAAGGCCTTGGGCCGCATAAATCGTTTATAACATCCTTTTGACCTCTGTTGGAGGTGGTAACCCTGAGTGCAAATGTCGAGCTGGAAGAGTTCATCTCACCGGGGTCAACCAAAGTCAACCCTGATCGCGCGTTCCCGACCTTCACTACGTCACGACCGCGGGCAGCACCGGGGCATCGCCCTGCAGGTATCAACCACTGCGACCCAAACACGGTCCAGCGGTGGAAAGATGATTGCCATCGATACCCTCCCTATCAGTATCTACCGGATAATTGCTTACAGAATCGTCTCGGGGAACTTCGCCTGCCCAACATTGACGAAAAAGAACTTATGATGGGGATGCCGCTTGGCTATACAAACCCCTGCTATCCAAAAACGCAGCGGAAATCTCAGGAGCATTTGGATATGCGACACACATTGGTGGGCAATGCTTGGTGTGTTCCCGTTGTCAGTTGGCTTTTGGGGCAGTTGTTGGGGCCTTTGGGGTTCACTGACAGCTTGGGACCACAAAGCATCATGGATCGTCTTAATCCCTCTAAGACTTTGGATGTACGCAGCCGCCTTCTTCGCCCTGCTTTACGTGTCGTGGGTCCGCCCATGCCTAGTGAGCCTGGCCGCCTGGAGCAACTCCTCTCTCGCCTGGTGAGCGCCAAAGGTGAAGATATCTTGTTGAACTCAGGTACGGAGCAAGTCGGTTCTTTTCAGCGTCTTCGGCAGACCGTGCCGTCCAGGCTCTGGAAATGGAAAATCATCTCGGGATGGAAATGGAAGCACGGCAAGGAGCATATAAATGCTTTGGAAATGCGTGCTCTGGAAGCGACCATCAAATGGAGGGTCGAAAAATTGGGCGAATTGCGATGCAAATTCGTTCATTTGACTGACTCATTAGTTTGCCTTCATACTGTGAGTAGAGGGCGTAGTTCTTCTAAGAAACTGCGCCGAAGTGTGTGCCGATTGAACGCGTTATTGCTGGCCTCGGGGGTCTCCCCTGTATGGGGTTATGTCCACACGGACCAGAACCCGGCGGATAAACCCAGCCGCTGGGCGGTCCGTACCAAATTCCGCAATGCCAAGACGCGTAGTTGAGAGTCGGGACCCCAAAGTTCGGGCCCAGCAACGACGTCAATTAGGCACACTTAAAGAACTCACAGTACAACCAGCGACACGAGTCAGATATGATAAAGCCGTAGCAGCCTTTCTACAGTTCCTCCAGGATAATCATCTACAACTCCCTCGTCAACGTGATCGTATTGATGCCCTGGCAGCAGAGTATCTGGAACATCTTTGGGTCACAGGAGCAGGTCGAGGACTTGCCTCGGATACCCTGGCAGGCCTGCAAGATCAAGATCAACGGTTGAAAGGAATGTTGCAAACCTCTTGGAGATTACTAAAGACGTGGCATACCCACGAAATCCCTTGCCGTGCCCCTCCTTTTCCTGAGTATGTTCTTCACTGCCTCGTCGGGTGGGCCCTGCTAAAGCAACAGTTCAGCTTTGCTGTCAGTTTGATGGTCGGGTTCTATGGGTTACTAAGAACGGGGGAATTACTGTCCCTGGAAAAACGGCATTTTTCCTTCTCCGTATCAACTGGTGTCGTTGTGGTCTCGTTGGGTTTTACGAAAGGTGGTCAACGAATGGGGGTCGCCGAAAGTGTCACTTTGACCCACGAGACAACAGTTCGGTTTTTGCGGCAATGGATGAACCTAAGTTCTGACCATCAAAAATTTTTCTCATCGCCCGCTCGGTGGCGTGCGATGTTTGCGCAAGGCTTGACAGAACTCAAATTGACTGAGTTTGAATTTCGCCCGTACTCACTGAGGCGAGGTGGAGCAACCTGGTATTTCTCAAGATTTAATAGCCTGGATAAGGTGATGATCATGGGACGATGGCAGGCCGCTCGAACTGCGCGCCTTTACCTGAACGAAGGATTGGCCACTTTGGCTGAGATGCACTTCCAACAGTTTAAAGTCCGACTTTCACCGTTTCACCAAACTTTCAAACGTTCTAACCCCTCCTATTACCAAACCCTTGAGCCGCCTAAAGGCAGGGCGGGGGGACTTGGTAGAAGAGTCAAATCAGGGAAAAATGAGCCTAAAAAGGCCAAGAAAAGAAGGAGGTGATATAAAGGAACCCTGTAGTCCTAGGGTGCTAGGGTCTGGCCAGCCCCTAGGGGGGTATCCCATTTTTTGCAAACGATCCTTGAGGCCCCTGTGTACAGTGTAAGGATTGTACCAGGGGGGGATCCCTTTCAATCATCCCGGAAGGATGCAATATGTTCCTTTTCGTATGTTTCACTGACAAACTTGCTGTGAAGCGGAACGACAAAAAAGGCGGTTTACTCTTTGCTAACCCGGCCCCGGGGGTAAAGAGTAAATAGTTTTGTCTGTGTTCCTCAGGCTTTGGTTCAAGCTCCCTTTTCCCCCCCCGTTGTCACTTCCCTTGAACCAAAGTCTTACTTGGTAGAAGAGTCAAATCAGGGAAAAATGAGCCTAAAAAGGCCAAGAAAAGAAGGAGGTGATATAAAGGAACCCTGTAGTCCTAGGGTGCTAGGGTCTGGCCAGCCCCTAGGGGGGTATCCCATTTTTTGCAAACGATCCTTGAGGCCCCTGTGTACAGTGTAAGGATTGTACCGGGGGGGGGATCCCTTTCAATCATCCCGGAAGGATGCAATATGTTCCTTTTCGTATGTTTCACTGACAAACTTGCTGTGAAGCGGAACGACAAAAAAGGCGGTTTACTCTTTATATATATATATCTATACGTTTATGATTCTCCTGGTCCTGGAATTAGATACCAAAAGCAACTTATCTGAAACTCAGTGAAGAAAAGGAAGCATAGAGAACAAATACAATGGTTCCCTGCCGAACAACCTGCATAAATATGGAATCTACCTGAAGAAATCAAACTCCAGAGACCCACTTTCAACCGCAAAACGTTTCAAATCAATGTGGACCGTAGTCAGGAAGATGATACAGTTGCCAGCAGAACCTGCACATGTCATTTTATGCTCTATGTTTTCTTTTTCCACATTCAAGTGACACTAAATCACCACTGTAATGTAATGAACCGTGATGTATTTTAGTGATGCGTGCAATGTAGCGTAGTGGAATGCAAAATCCAAAGCAGCGAATTCATTGTAGCGTAAACATGTGTCGCTTCACCATTTTAAGTTACTCGTAAGTATTGTAAGATGTGATGTCACTCATGCCAAAAAAACTAAAGTCATTTGACGTAGTCTGATTTCACTGTGACTACCCATGTGTACATCATGGAATTTACACATGTATAGTCTACTACTTCTGCATGTCAGCATGATTCAGTATGTGTTTAGGCATTTCAGCATCAAACTAGCCTGCCAATCTACATGTTCAAACCAGAACCTGCAAATACTGCAAAATTCGAAGTCAACATCACTTCCACTTCAGACTCTGTGGCCTGGCATGATTGTCATCTGGTTTGGGATACATGCTGCACTGTGCTTGGTTGTAAGGCACAAAAGCGCCGCTTTGTTCCACATCCTGGACAACGGGGATGGTGAGGCGTGTTTAAGTCAATCCAGACTGCTTTTGGCATGGGCAGTCCCAAGATCGTGATCAACTTGTCAAGTTGGCCCACCAAAAAATCTGTATTTCCTAAGTTGTTGTAGTCTGTAGGCCAGACGTACATTAAGACATGTGTTTCTTGCAAGAAGTTGGAGCTCTTGCCGTCAGGAGGATGTGATGAAGTAGCCAAACTACCGCGACCGCATGATTCGTTCTAGATTTTATCAGAGTTGCAGCCCGCCTCCCCCGCCTCCAGCTCGCGCCTCCACTTTTCCGCCCCAACCTCCTGAACCACGAGCTCCAGATTTCAGTGGGCACTGCGGGACCTCAACCGCAAGCTCCAGATCTCAGTGTGCACGGAGATCTCAGTGGGCACTGCCTGACCTCGACCGCGAGTCCAGATTTCAGTGAGCACTGCCGGACCCCATGCCCACTGAGATCTGGCGTTCGCGGTTGAGGTCCGGCAGTGCCCGTGTCAGAGAGAATGTCATAACGGAAGCCAGATAGAATGCCAGAATAAATGCCAGAACGAAGCCAGATAGAATGCCAGAAACAACGTCAGAGTATATGCCAGAAAGAATGCCAGAGTTTATGCCGGAAAAAATAGAATGTCAGAATGTATTTGTCCAAGATATACTTCCAGAGATGGTATGTCAGAAACTGTTTCGATCAGAATAATGTGTCAGGGTGGGGATCACTCGAAGAAAGCAATTTTTGAACTAATATTTTTCCATTGGTGTACTCGCAGTGTTTGGAAAAATATTCAGAAGCGATGGTTTGAGTACATGTGGCTACTTGCGCTCGGGTCATTTCCCAAAATCATTCCTGTCGCCACATTGTCGACATGTCTGCCCCCTTACTTGCCCAGCAACAGCATGTTCTCAGTCCTGGGTTTTCAACGCCGATTCGTAGTTACAGTGATTCTCAGTGGTTCTCCTTGTGGGCAAGATACATGAATTTGTTCGTGTTTGCTGCTAGGTTGAGACACATCCTTTGTTTTGTATTGGTTGGCTAGGACATGCAAAGCCGTCACATCCCTGGCTCTCGCCGCCGCCTGTGAAGGTAACTCTGGACGAGTTCATCGATGGAATTATGCGTTGCAAGGGCCCTGCCCGTGCCATTGACCAAGTCGCCATGCATGCCGAGCTGAAGCAACTAGATGCTACTTGGATTGTGCAATGGGATGTTGGGCTTTCCTTGTCATTGTTATAGAGTTGTATGTCCATTCGATTTGTTTGGGGACGTTGGGGGATTTTATTCTGTTGTGGAATTCTCCTTGAGCCGCGCTTTACGTCAGCCGAGAGAAAGTGATTTGTTGCAATGATTGTGCGGTTTGTCAAGAAGGTGAGAAACAATCATCTAAATGTTCTTGCACGCCGCGAAAAAATCGTTTGTGGCTCACTGGCTCAAAGGACTGTACCACTCTTAGCTATTAGCTATAGATGACCAGTAGTCCTTCCTGCTTGTCTGCTGGTGGGCTTGAGGCGAAGGTCACCAAATTGTTCCGGAAACTGTTGAAGGTCTCCAAGGTGCGGGGAAGCACACCAGTGGCCTATAGCATGTAGAGTAGTGTTGCAGCAGTAGCAGCCATACGGCCATTTTTGGTCGTGTCACATGGGATCGCAAAGAAGGGTCGTACCCTAAATTTGTTCGCTGGCTGGATTTGCTTTCTAATTTCTTTTTCTGGCCAACGAAATTTTCATCGGGGAATGAGGGGTCGCAAAACACTAAATCAGCGCATATTCAAACTACTCTGGCACTTGCACGCATATTTGATCGCTAGGTTGCAGGTGGGGAAACGTTCATGTACGTGTGCGGACATATTTGATGCGAGGATCTTTTCTGGAACTTGCATGCGCATATTGGAAGCTACCAAACATGTGGGGGGGGAATGAGGCTGGGTTGGCCAATAGCGCTCAAGCGACCATTTTGGTTTGGCACGGGATGGCGTCGCTATGGGGCGAATGGAACATGACTTTACGCTTGAAAAGGGTGCTGATAAGTGCACTGGGATGTTTTCAAGCCGGCAGGCGTCTCACTTTGAGATCAAGACCAGGCTGGTCCGGATGGGACCAAGGTTGTCCAAATGCTAAGATGGGAGTGGTTGCAATGAGCATCTGGATCCACAGTCTTCGTGCAATATTCCTGGGCTTTCAAAATAGAATCAGCGGCCCAAGAAAAAATCATATATACCCCTCAAAAGGGTCGGAACAATTGCAGATTCGCATTGATGGTGAGGAGCAAGATATTTTTGTTGCCCAATCCCTACTTGTATTTGCCTACGTGGCGAGTGATAGATCCTTTTACGAAATTGATGCACGGCCTCGTCCGCTTGTTACATAAAGTTTGATCCAACTCCTACAACCATTGCAGGCCCAACTTACAGGAACCTGTTGCAAGAACCAAAGGGCCAGACTGGCTAGGAACGTCAGATATCGAGAGCTCCATGCGTTTTGCCTGCAATGCTCTTTTCTAAAGTGTAGTCATGATTTTGTCGTGGTTGCTTTCTATCGTGATAGTTCTTGTAATGGTGCAATTGCATAACCGATATACAATCCATTCTCCAAGCGCAATGCCGAGTTCTCTTGGATGGATATGGCTATCCCCCTTGACTTCTTACGCTCAAAGCTCAAGTTTCTATATTTTTCCGCAGGGAATGGTCATATAGCCACGGAGAGTGGCATATATACAATTGAAGAATAAAATCGTTTATTGGATTGCTGCTACTATGGATAGTGCTCTGCATGCATGAGAAACCCAACCTTGGCCCTGGACCGTCGCAGCAGGAATGCGAGCAAGCAGGTCACCGCAATGAAGGTCTTCCGCGCTTCGGCCTGATATAGCTGTGCTGCTCCTTCTTTTCAGATTGAAAGAGTGGAAACCCAACATATTGAAAGAAGCACTGCAAAGGTTTGAGGGCATGGGTGCGCAATTTCCTGGAGAATCTGATGGAGAGGAAGGAAGAGGAAGGAAGGAAGGTAGGATGCATGCAGGGAAGGAAGCAAGGAGGCCGGAAGCGAGGAAGGAAGGCAGGCAGGAAGGAAGGAAGGAGGCTGGAAGAAAGGCAGGAAGGAAGGAAAAAGGGAAGGAACCAAGGAAGAAAGGAATGCAGGAAGGAAAGAAGAAAAGAGGCTCGAAGGAAGGAAGGAAGGAAGGAAGGAAGGAAGGAAGGAAGGAAGGAAGGAAGGAAACCATTAAAGGAAAAAGGCAGCCAAGGAAGGAGGGAAGGAAGGAAGGAAGGAAGGAAGCAGGAGAGGAGAGAAGGGCAGGAAAGAAACAAGATAGGAAGGAGAAAGGAAGGAGTGAATTGAAAAGAAACAGAAATAAAAAGATTGATCTAAACAAACCCTAAATCAACCTTAATGCATCCCAAAAAAAACTTAAGCCATCCTACGATTAGCCTTAAACCAGCCCCTAATAGTCCCTAAATCGAAATCAATCCTAAACCAACACTTCCCCAACATCCAATGAAATTATGTACGCCCAACATGGCCGTGCCTCAAATGACATTCTAGTGCACGCTGTGCGTTAGACAGACCATGCGTACCACATTCAGCCTACAGCATTACATGTGAATTTAGGTAGTGTCATTCTGCTTTGCCGGGAGGCGCTGCGCCCTCCCCCAATCCCACCCTCCCGCTTCTTTGTCTAAATCCAGGTTTGTACACGTGTAAGTACACCACTCTACATGTATGTATATATGTTTTCTTGTGTATACACGGTCACGTATATATACAGTGTGTGTATACAAATAAATATCAAATTATAAACAAATAATATATATATATGTGTATATTTTTACTGTAAAGACAACATTTTGAAATGTGCACACTTTGTATCCTTAAATAAATTCCAATCCAACCCTAAACCAACCCTAAGCAAATTTTGAAAAGACACTATACCAACTCTAGATTAAACTTAAACCAGCCCCAAATAGACTATAAATCAACCCCATATGAAAGCTGAACCAACCGCAAATGGAATCATAGTTTGCATAGCTGCTCCAAGTGGCAATCTTTGCCGAAAATAAGAAAATGTTTTGTATGATTGTTTGGTTGATGCCTTCAAGTGTCAACCTAAAGTATTTCTATCCCTTCGCTGCCCGATCAAAAAAAATAGTCCAACTCAAAAAATCTGTTGGACCCACCGTCAAAGTCCCTTTCTGTAGGAGATATGTGTTTGATGCATGCGTTTTATTTGCTTGGTTCCATTTTTAAGAAATAACCCTTTCAAAGAAAGTGAAAGAGAAAGAGAGAGAGAGAGAGAGCGGGGAACGTGAAAGTGAGGGGTGGGTTAGAAAAATAATACCTGACAAGATGGAAAAATCAAGCAAGAGACGAGGCCTGAAAGAATAAATAAATAAATATATATATATATATACCTATCTAATTATGTATGTTTGGCATTGCGATAGTTCAGAGGACAAAGGCAACCCAAAGAAGAGACAACTAGGGAGAAAGAGTCCGAGGAGGGCAGGCTCAAGGAAGAGGTAGGCTAGAGAAGACGTAGCCGAAAGAAACGGTGATTCAGAGAAGACGAAGGTGAGGAGAGGGGTAGCTCAGAGAAGAGATAGTTGAGGACATAGGTACCAATAAAATGTAGTTCAAACAGCGGGAATGCTTTCAGTAACTTGAAGCGTTCAATAAACCCTTAGGGTCAATCATTCACTCATGTAGCAACGCCTGCGCCAGTCAGAAACATTCAACACGTTTTTGGTTTCAATTCATTTTGTTTAGTCTACCACTCTAGTGTCCTTTTTTTTTTGCTGGTTTGCACGTCCCGCTTCGGTGCCATGGTCATGCTAAAACTCATGTTTTTGTCCGGAGTCGTTAACACCATTGGATCCCATGCAAGTGGCAATGTACCATTTTTTCAGGGTTTCGCCTTCCATCAGTCTGAAAAATCCCTCCTGCTCAGCAACGTTTTTTTTTGGGGGGTTGTTCCTTTGAACAAGCCGGCTTAAATTGGACATTTTTGGTTTGGTTCAAACTTTGGCTTTTGAAGCCAATATTCTGTGCTTGACCACAAGCATGTCGAGTGGAACCACCACATGTATGTTCACATTTTCGGGAGGGCAAAATGGGCCAAACAAATTTCGACTGTAGCCCATGGTAAGCAAGCATGTCAATGGACAAAAGCAATGCAAAATGCGTTTAAATTATATAGATTAATTTTCATGTTCCCACCAAATTTGATGATTTCAATGTTTGCCTCTCAATGTGCTCGTCCAGTCCCTGTCTTGAATTCCCCATATCTTTGTGTGGGGTTCTTGTTCCCCACATCTTTGTGTGGGGTTCTTGCTTTTGATTCTGTATCCCGCCTCCTCCGCCTCCTCCTCCTCCGCCGCCTCCGCCTCCACTTTGTCACACACCATCTTTCACACACCATCTTTCTCACACCATCTTTCTCACACCATCTCACTCACACAACTTTGTCACACACCATCTCACTCACGCAACTTTGTCTCACACCATCTTTCTCACACCATCTCACTCACACAACTTTGTCTCACACCATCTTTCTCACACCATCTCACTCACACAACTTTGTCTCACACCATCTTTCTCACACCATCTCACTCACACAACTTTGTCACACACCATCTTTCACACACAACTTTGTCACCCACAATCTTTAATTTTGTCACACACCATCTTTCACCCACAACTTTGTTTCACCCACAACTTTGTCACACACCATCAACTTTGTCACACACCATCTTTCACACACAACTTTGTCACCCACAACTTTGTCACACACAACTTTGTCACACACCATCTTTCACAAACAACTTTCCGCGGTACTTTGCGTGGCAGGCGTGCCACTTGACTTTGCGTGGCAGGCGTGCCACTTGGTTACATCCACCTTGGTTTCGCGTGGCAGGCGTGCCACTTGCTCATGGTGGCGCTTTGGTCGCCCGGGGCGCCGCGCCACTGTGCATGGCTTGGCTGGCTCTGATGGCGCGCTTGGGTGCGCTTTGGTCGCCCGGGGCGCCGTGCCACTTTGCATGGCAGGCGTGGCGCTTGGCGACATCCACCCTCGTTTTCCGTGGCAGGCGTGGCACTTGGTTACATCCACTTTCGTTTCGCGTGGCAGGCGTGGCACTTGTGGCACTGGGCTGTGTCTGGTGGCACGCTTGGGCGCGCTTTGGTCGCCCGGGGCGCCGCGCCACTTTGCGAAGCAGGCGTGGCACTTGGCGACATTCACCTTCCTTTTGCGTGGCAGGCGTGGCACTTGGTGACATCCACTTTCGTTTCGTGTGGCAGGCAAGGCACTTGGGGCACTGGGCTGGCCGTGGCAGGCGTGGCGCTTGCTGACATCCAGACATCCACCTTCGTTTCGCGCAGTTGGGGCACTGGGCTGGCTCTGGTGGCGCGCTTGGCCGCACTTTGCTCGCCCGGGGCGGCGCGCCACTTTGCGGGGCAGGCGTGGCATTTGGCAACATCCACCTTCGCTTTGCATGGCAGACGTGGCACTTGGTGGATGTTCGTTTCGCGTGGCAGGCGTGGGGGCGCCGCGCCACTTTGCGTGGCTGGCGTGGCACTTGGCGACATTCACCTTCGTTTTGCGTGGCAGGCGTGGCACTTGGTGACATCCACCTTCGTTTCGCGTGGCAGGCGTGGCACTTGGGGCACTGGGCTGGCTCTGATGGCGCGCTTGGGTGGACTTTGGTCGCCCGGAGCGCCGCGCCAGTTTGCCTGGCAGGCGTGGCGCTTGGCGACATCCACCTTCGTTTTCCGTGGCAGGCGTGGCACTTGGTGACATCCACCTTCGTTTCGCGTGGCAGGCGTGGCACTTGTGGCACTGGGCTGGGTCTGGTGGCACGCTTGGGCGCGCTTTGGTCGCCCGGGGTGCCGCGCCACTTTGCGAAGCAGGCGTGGCACTTGGCGACATTCACCTTCGTTTTGCGTGGTAGGCGTGGCACTCGGCGACATCCACCTTCGTTTTGCGTGGCAGGTGTGGCACTTGGTGACATCCACCTTCGTTTCGCGCACTTGGGGCACTGGGCTGGCTCATGGCGCGCTTGGTTTGCTCGCCCGGGGCGCCGCGCCACTTTGCGGGGCAGGCGTGGCGCTTGGCACTTCGCTTTGCGTGGCAGGAGTGGCACTTGGTGGATGTTCGTTTCGCGTGGCAGGCGTGGCACTTCGGGCACTGGGCTGGGTCTGGTGGCGCGCTTTGGTTGCCCGGGCGCCGCACCACTTTGCTTGGCCGGCATGGCACTTGGCGACATATGGCGACATTCACCTTTGTTTTGCGTGGCAGGTGTGGTACTTGCTGACATCCACCTTCGTTTCGCGTGGCAGGTGTGGCACTTGTGGCACTGGGCTGGGTCTGGTGGCGCGCTTTGGTTGCCCGGGGCGCCGCGCCACTTTGCGTGGCCGGCGTGGCACTTAGCGACATTCACCTTCGTTTTGCGTGGCAGGCGTGGCACTTAATTGGTGACATCC